AACAAATGTGAAAAGTGCAGTGAGACGTATAAAAAACGAATAATGATTTAATGTGATCATTCGCTTAGATAGAAAATTTCTTATTATTAAAAGAGGTGTAAAGTTTAAAGTATGAAGGTTTGTATTATTATCCTTATCATTCGGTTGATTGACATCGTATTTATTTATTCTTTGTTTTGGCATAAATTGGGCATATGATACAAATATACCTTATACTGGTGGTTTCTGTGTTAGTTACTTACTTGCTTGCTCGCTCGCTCGCTCGCTCGCTCGCTCACTCACTCACTCACTCACTCACTCACTCACTTACTCACTTACTTACTTACTTACTTACTTACTTACTAACTTATTTACTTACCTACTTACTTACTTACTTTCTCACTCACTCACTCACTCACTTACTCACTTACTTACTTACTATAATAGGACTTTGTTACCAAGATATGATTACCGTATGCATTGTTAGATTCTCGCTATAAAAACATAAAAACAGTGATGAAACACGCTCGTTTTTTGTGTTGTTGCCATCACGTGCATGTAGAAAGATATTCATTAATAGCATATTAAATTCATGGTGCTTGTGTAATACTCACAGTAATTGGATAACTTGGTTTGCTGTAATGCAAACTATTTCAACTGATAACATCGTTTTTGCATTTTCTTTAACAAGACATAAAAACTGTATTTCATCAATACTAAATATTCTTTGTATATCACCTATCTTTATCTTATTTTCAACGGGCTTACCTTATTGTTATTATTATTATACATGACAAATATTTAGAAAGTGTAATTATCTATAGAACTACCTAATAATTAGATTTTGATATTAACATCTATTTTGTGTATCACACTTTGAATCATCACATAAACGATAAATACCATAGTCACAGACATACACCAAAACGGTGTGTCACTTGTTTACAGAATTAAATATTGTCATGAATTAATTGTCAAATGCATAACTATTTTTGCAAAAAAGAAATAGCAACGTCAATTCATTGTTTAAAAAAACTACTTAAAATAATAGCTGGCATAAATCTAGGATGTCTAATAAACTAAACTGCAGGCAGAACACTATCTTTGTTAGAATAACAAAGCACGAAGTTAAATCAAATTTTAAAGTAAAATTAAAAGAGACTGCTTTCTACAATGTTCCACGTTAATCTCCGATTATCAGTCCCAGAATCAGGGGCAAAACCACGAGGGCATCCTTCTTTTAATATGCTGTGATAAAACATTTATTTATTTATTTATTTATTTATTTATTTATTTATTTATTTATTTATTTATTTATTTATTTTATTTATTTATTTATTTATTTACTTACTTATTTATTTATCTTTGTTATCATGTTTTAGATTATTTAAAATATCATTTGAATTAAGGCTATTGACACCATTATTGGATAAATATTTTGATCTAAGAATGATAAGAGTCCTCTAGAACAATTTCCCGATATTCCCAAAATGATATATAATACAAAAGAACAATTCTCACATTTTGCAATTTCCAAAATCTTCAATGTTTGAACAGGTATTTTATAGATCTCTGAGAGAGTAATATATTCTTTATCAGACAGTTTATCTTTGTTTATGTGGAATCTAATCTGTTTCACACAGACTTCATAACCGACTTTAACATCTTTGATGGTAGTTTCACTTGGATATCACAATAATGAACTCCAAGAAAAGTTCATAAGTGAAATACTGAATACCATGTGACGATACATGGGCAATAATCGGAAAGAACTACAAATTATTTTGGAATCGACAAACAAATGATGCCAAAAACTGACGTTGAAGAAGAGGAATATTTACTACATTGATATATTTAAAATTATGTCATGAATAATAATATTTTATAGCAAGATGATGAAATGTTGATAACTTATTACATTGTCATATAGTAACGTTCTGTATGTTCAAATTGCATATCTTTAATATGTCATGTTTCAAATCATTCATTTTTAAGTATAAATGATCTAAGCATGAGATGGACAAATATGTCTACAAGGTTAAAAAAATAGTAAAAAACTACTTGACATGTTACAAAGACATGAACTAAAAAGTGACATTAAAAAATCGTTGGATAGTATATGTTTTGATGCATAATCATAGTAAATAAACCCAAAGCGAACTTCATAAACAAATCAAAATTGTTAAATTCCCATGGTAATATAAAATAATGGAATAAGATGCGTAAACATTCTATAAGTTTGATAGATAGGGGGATTGTAGACAGCTTGACATTTCTGTTTTTGGTGAAATATCGTATTACTTTTTTGCGATTTAATGTCAAAAGTACGTCTCTTACAACACACTTTTACTCTTGTCTGCCTTTTACCAGCGTATTGAAATATGTTTCATTACAAATCATATATATATATATATATATATATATATATATATATATATATATATATATATATATATATATATATATATATATATATATATATATAAATTTGGAGAAAATAAACGTTCATACAGTGCTAAAGTATAAATACCCAAGTACTTTCGGCGTATTATGCCTTCATCAGGGGTGTATTACATGTATAATGTGCCACACAATCGAGCACAAAATCTCAATACGTGTGTACTGTATAGTGATCAAAAATTGAACTGAAACACAGTCGCTAGAAAGGTGATAAAATTACATCGATTATGAATAGACCGTTATTGAATGGTCATTGTGTAGTACTTTACAAAAGAGAATATAGCCTGCGGTCAATATGGTATAAACTCGGTTAAATATATCTATAAAACTGTGTTTAAAAGATGCCAAACCTGTGCTGTCATGCTCCTTACATAAACATTCTCTTCAAAAATAGGGGCCAAAACATCTCTCAAAGACATAATGAATTGTAAAACGGCTAACGTTATTTATCTTATTTCTTGCAAAGTATGTAATAAACAATATGTCGGTGAAACCAAACTTCCATTAAATAAACGAATGAACTTACACCGCTCTGACTGGAAAACGCGAAAATTTAACAGATCCCCAGTTGCTGAACATTTTCACCTTGAGGGACACAGTTTTAAAGACGTGTCCCTCTGTTGTATTGAACATAACACAAAGTGGTCAGATACAACACAGAAATCACGCGAGACATACTGGATTCGCCGACTGAATACGCTAGAGCCATCAGGAATCAATAAAGGAGACTAATTTACACACTTATTCTCGCCCATTCTTGACAAATTTTAAAACCTAACTTTGGTCATCAGGCGGTGTCGGGGAGGGCTATTTTTCCCTTGCCTGAGAGCTTCGTTTTTACTTTCACCTTATCGTAAATTTCCACTTCATATAACATCATACTGTTTGTAACTTGCATTTTCTTACATCATACTTATAGTAATAAGAACACAATACGCCCTTATATGTGAAGTTTTATTATTTATTTTTTAGTTTATATATATATTTTTCTTTTAAACACAGTTTTATAGATATATTTAACCGAGTTTATACAATGTACCATATTGACCGCAGGCTATATTCTCTTTTGTAAAGTACTACACAATGACCATTCAATAACGGTCTATTCATAATCGATGTAATTTTATCACCTTTCTAGCGACTGTGTTTCAGTTCAATTTTTGATACTATACAGTACACACGTATTGAGATTTTGTGCTCGATTGTGTGCACATTATACATGTAATACACCCCTGATGAAGGCATAATACGCCGAAAGTACTTGGGTATTTATACTTTAGCACTGTATGAACGTTTATTTTCTCCAAATTTATTGTTTTTTTTTCCACGTTCTTGTATCCTTCTTTGGATCCAGTGTTTTGAAAGGTATTTTGTAGATGCAAATATTTTTCACAAACCTATATATATATATATATATATATATATATATATATTCTCAAGTTAATTTATTGCCTACCGGTTTCTATAATCATCAGGGCAAATAAACATAAAACCACAGATCCGGCACTTTTTATCATTTATGTTTATATATATATTGGTGACACGACAGAGTGATTAACGCACCGGAGTAGTCATCTAATGATCGCTAGTCGCGTAGGTTCAAACTCCTATGGGTAACATGTTGTTTTCTTGTGCAAGTCACTTTACACTTATTGCTTATTACTGGATGGATCGAATAACTGATTTGAAAGTGTTTTCTGTTGTTGGTTTTTTGTTTTATCTTTGTCAAATAGTCATTAAAAATCATTTGCAGTACAGAATGTTTATAGCTAACAAAAAACAAGTTGACCAATACTAGAATCAAACTACGGGTCAATCTACATGTGTATTTCTTATCTATTAATATTTGTAAGGTAAGTTCACACAGGGTGTGTAACAACAGCGCATAAATAAATTGTGAACACACGCTTTCTTATTTGATTTACATCTTATTTATATATTCCTCGTGCTGCGGGCTGTTAATCACAAATGTATCTGTTTTTGAAGTTCATTCATAGACATTTAGACATAAAAGATTTGTTTCGTGATTTAATTCTTGCTGAGCAAAATCATATCATGTTGTTACATGGTCTTTTCAAGCATCTTGTCCACACTCGAATCACTTGTTTGTTGGGAAAAATAATAAAAATGTCATAATGAATTCATGATACTTATCTGGGGTTAGTATCTCGAAGCTATCGTTAGCATAACGACTATCGTAAGCCTCTGGTTAAGGTTTTCACTACTATCTCGAATCTCTCGTTATTAACGAATAATCGTTAATATGCCCAATTATTAACGGATGCCAAGAGGGTGTCGTAAAGCTCTCGTTACTATCACTTTGACACAAAAGTAAGTATGGTGCTACTTTAAATACACAGAAAACAGCTTGTATAAAACACAGATAATTAAAGAAGACAATTAAACTAACAAAGGTAAGCTTTTGCCTTTTGTATCGTGACTGCAATTCCTATCCGTGAGGTAAAATGTTTTTTAATCATAGGGTAACGACATTATGAATTCAAACATTTTTTTACTCAACTTTTTTTTATGTTATTCACTTATCGTTTTCACAATTTCAGATGGCTCTTGTGTTTTTGGGAGGTGACGGCAACAGAAGACGTCGCAATATTCCCCGGATATTTAGAGATCGCATGAATCCCCTCGACGTGATGACCGATCATGACCTTTTAAAGAAATATCGGTTGGACAGAATTACCATTCTTGAAATATGTGCACAAACCCAGCAACAACTTCTTAGACTAACAAGACGAAGTCAGTCTCTTCCGGTGTCGCTGCAGGTACTTGTCGCTCTGCGTTACTATGCAACCGGTAGCTTTCAGTCAATCCTCGCGGATGGTCATGGAGTGTCTATTCACTCTGATTCAAGAAGTATTCACGCGGTTTCTGAAGCAATTATTAGACAAGTTCCCCAACAAATTAAGTTTCCGACTTCACGTACTGAAATAACAAATACCAAGCAACGATTCTATGAAATAGGCGGTTTTCCAAATGTTATTGGTGCCGTCGACGGTACGTACATACCTATAAAGACACCAACTGATGATGAGCATTTGTATGTGACAAGAAAGGGATACCATGCAATAAATGTCCAAGCTGTATGTAATGGCGACAATTTATTCACAAATATAGTTGTTCGTTGGCCAGGGTCGACTCACGATGCATTTATATGGAATAACTGTGAATGCGTCCGCAAGATCGAAGAAATGAATTTACAAAATACATGGATTTTGGGTGATAGTGCGTATCCGTTAAAACCATACTTACTTACGCCATTACCAACTGCAAATACAGAGGCTGAAAGGAGATTTAATGTTGCTCACAAACGTACACGTTGTGTAATCGAACGTACATTTGGCATTTGGAAAATGAGGTTCAGGTGTCTCCACAAGTCAGGTGGATACATGACTTACACCCCGATAAAATGTGCTAAGATTATTACTGCAGTTGCAGTCCTTCACAACATGTGTATTTCGAGAAATTTGCCTCTGATTGATGACAATGTAAACCATGAAGATGACGACAATGACAGTGACGTCAATGGTGACGACAACAATGAAAAAAATAGAGAAAACAACAACAACGATGATGGTAGACAGGTTCGCGATAACCTTATTCGGGACATGTTTTCACACGCTAGCTAAATCTTCGACCGTTCTTAGAAGTGTTTAAAAAGTCGCCAACTACAAAGTCGACGTTGTGTTGATCGTAAGTTCAAACAATATATTTTATGTTTGTTAAACAAGTTGATAGATTAATGTGAGACAAGCATTGTTCATTAATGATTGCAAATTTAACTGTTTAGAATGATAAAATATGTTTTTCTGTAATGGAATGTAAAATAAAATAAACACATTGTTTTCAGTTTTCATTCTTCTTTTCTAGAGCATTAAGGAAGTCTCAGCTGAGTTCTAAAATAATATAACAGAGAGAAATGTTCATTCATGATTATAAAAGTAGTATTGTTTAACATGAATAAAAAGAAATAAAAACGGATTTATAACGATGCACTGTACTTTCAGGACTATAAATTTAACAAATTATACATGTACTCGTAGTCTTTGAAAAGAGCAAAAGATTGAACAATTATAACAATGTACTTCCGACAATAAACACTTTCTAGTGTTAAATCTTTGCAGGTTACCAAGTCATGGGGTATTTAAACTGTTGATTATATTCTATACTGAGCCAGATTGTATTGAAGCATTCTCCTTGGAATAATGTCAATCATGTTGATATGAAATCGTAATGTTCCACAATATGTGTTAACAATTTCCGCCCAACGTTCGATTTCTGTAGTGTTCATCTCCACATGTACTTCTGTTATATTTGGAAGTCTTTTCTTAATGTACAAAAAGTCACTTGGTTTAAGAGATTCACATCCAAAGAATTGTAAAGATTTAACATTCCTGAGAAAATAGGCCAGAAATGTTTGGATTTCGACATTGAAATATAGGTTCCGACATATTAAAATGACGACGGACGGCAGCGAAGCTTTTATACAATGTGCTAATAATTCTAAATTATGGTGTTTCTCTGCATATAGTTCAAGGTACTCTAAATGCAGCATCTGGGAAAAAACGCTAAATTTTTCCAACAAGTCACAGTTCAGAGTAAGATGTCTCAGATTAGACATTTTTATGAGTGCAGAGTCATAGCTAGGCACAGTTCTGAAAGTCATTTTTGCACAGCGGAAATGCCACCAAATCCGTCCAGACATAACAACACGCTTCCAAGCCTTGCACACTTTGGATACAGTTAATAGAATTTCGTCAACAGGCAAAAAGCGGAAAACCAATTCTAGCAATATGTCGTTCTGAAAATATACAAAATATACATATACAGTCATGTACATATATTTTATTTCATACTTAGTAGTGAAATACTAAGTTTATCCGTAAAAAAACAGAGAATATTGAAATAGTGTATGTCCGATACTTTATTGAACGATTAGCACTATACTTTGCCAGCCCCTAATGAGAATTATATCAACTTATGATAAGAAGTGATGAACCTACATAAATATGATATTGTATTTCTTTTTCTCACATATCAAACACATGTTAAGGTTCTTAAAAGTTTACCTAAAGAATTATATTTGTATGCAGATGAAAAACAATCATATCATCACTTAAACAACGAAATGAATTAACTCCGTTATGTGTAATTTTGCCCAAAAAATATAAATAAATATCTGCATACATCATGTTGAAAATGTAACAAAATTCCGATTTATATTACAGAATTATAAAGAAACCACACTGTGACGTAATGATTTAATGACATCATGAAGAAAAGTGCATTATATTGTTACGCCGCTAAAATTAGTATAACAAAAAGGCATCAATGATATATAATTTAGTTTGTGTAACTTTTCGAATTGAAATATATTTCACTCGCGAACACCAGCTGTTAAATTTTAACTTGTAATAATTTTGATTTAAGACAAATGAAAATTCATCCATAAATTAACAGCCGTGTATATTATCAGTTATAAAGACATCTAACGGATTATATGACCCTATATAAACGGTTGTCTGTAAATATCACCCGAGCCGCAATATATAACCATATATTTCCAAACAACGTTTAAATAGTGCCATAATTATAAATGTTCAAAAACCTTTATAATTAATAATATAGTGTCATGGTTATCCAATGAAATTCGACGTAACAAACGTGCGGTATCATAAAAATTCAACATACATTTCATGAAGTCATTGTTTTGCTCATAACGTCATTGTTATGCACATGGCGTCATTTCAGCTATGTAGCTAGCGGGGTTTCGAAAATAGTTGTGTACATATGTGCGTCTTGATGGTAAACTTTTAAAAAAGTTATTATTTCGATTTTCGTGAAATATGGAATATTTTTTCATGAAACGTGATAAAATTATAATTTTTTTCACTCGCCGTTCCGGCTCATTAAAATATGTGGAAGTTTATCATGTTTTATCACGTTTCGTGAAAATATATTGAATATTTCACAAAATAGGATTTATATTAATATTTCTTTAAAACTAAACACATCGTCGCTGTCGTCATCATATGATTACCATCATCATAGCATCATCATAGTCATAATCATAGTCACTGGTATATCATGATCGTTTTCATAAACATCACGTTTTTATCTTATACATAAAATAAAATCTAAATTGTTTATGATGAGACCATTTGCTTATCCCAGCATATATTCATTTTTTACTTTGTATACTAAGCAAACTTATGGACTACCTTTATAATCTTAATTTATTGTCCTCATATGTGTTTAAATGAACAGACTATTTAAAATAGAAACTATGACGACTAAGTGCTCGCTATAAATATTCATTTAGATATTTGCAATTTGTGAACAACATTTTCAAGTTTAAATCTTGACAGTATACTTACACCTTAAACAACATGTGGCTATAGCCTGAAGAATGAGGTAGAGTTATCTTGCCCCGGGTTTTGTGCCGGGTATTGAGATGCTGCTCGGCTAGAATATTGGCCTTGACAAAGTAGAGTGTTCAAAATGTCTGTCTCCACTTGCAGGCGTTGCTGCTCAATTTTCAGTCTTTGTTGTTCTATTTCCAGCCGTTTTTCATCAGTATCTAGTCGTGCATTGTCTATCTTAAGTTTTTCTCTCTCAATTGAAATTACGTCAGTTTCATAGCTTTCAGCAGCAGATGCAGTTGCAACGACTTTTCTCTTTTTAAAAGGAATCGTTTTCGTAGGTTTATTAGCACAACTGATATTAGCAACGCAATCAGGATTCTCATCGCATGACAGGTCTATACTGCTAGACGACAGACCGGATACTGCAAGTGTCGTGTGAGTATGTTCCGGTTTAGCATGATCGTAACTTTCCATTTTAGCATGATCGTAACTTGATGACTCTAATTTACCCTCGTCGGCACAAAAGTCTGCTTCTTCAGAAACAAGAGCTGTATCTATCCCTCCCTTAAATCCACCTACGGCAGTCTCGCCAATTATAGAAACTCCTAGTTCCTCTAATTCAGTCAGTGGTTTAGTATCAGGCTGTCCGCTGCCAGTCTTGTTTAAAGATTGCCTCCGCTTTGCCGCCTTTCCTTTAGTAACACTCGACCTGTTGTTCCATTTTTTTCTAATATCATCTACCGTTCGGACGGTCTGTGAAACAGCATTTATACGTCTCGTTATTTCTGCCCATGCCTTTTGCTTTTTTTCCATTGACAAGACATCACTGAATTTACCAAAGAGAATATGTTTATGTGTATTTACCTCATGTGCTAGTATTTGCAATTCGTCTATTGAATATCTCGGCTTACGTTTTGATTCGGCCATTTTGTCCATGTATTAACACACGATATCCGCGGTAATGAAATGATTACACAGCGCAGTCGTTAATAACTAGCGAGTAAGCAACGAACGATTGCTGAACTAGCGCTTTCGAGATACCCGCGCTAATCTCTCGTTAACCAACCTTCCGTCAATCGTTAGCACGTTCGTTAACGCAAATATAACGATAGCTTCGAGATACTAACCCCTGATCCGCTAAATAATACAAAATCCTCTCGTTGATGACGTCGTTTCTGTGTTGTTGTTTTTTTGTTGTTGTTGTTTTTTGGTGTGGTTTTTTTTTCATAAATTTTAATATTATCCCCGTACTGCCACTTTCCGATCAGCTAACAGATTTTTCTATAATAACTGAAAGTGAAATTATAAAAAATTAAATTTCTCTTACAATTCTGCAAATATTATCATTTCAGCTAATAAATGCAACAACTTTTTAAAATTTTACCTGAATTATTATTATGAATCGAGGACAAATCATTACTGACCCATTTTCCTGTTCTTCAAAATTTCACAACCACTTTTCAATCAGTTAACAAAATATAAACTGGACCACATAAAAATTGTCATACAATGTTAAAATATAACCAGTTATGTATTTTGAAGAAATTTTGACAAACTCAACTTCAGATAAATGGTAATAAACAATTTTAAGCTATTTATAATGACATTTTTCAATTTTGATATCTTTTTGCAGTAGTAAAGCTGTCACAATTGGGGTATGGATGTACATCTCAATGTGCATAACAGAAAAAGCATGTTCTTGTGAAATTTTTAGGATCTTAGGTTCTATATGACCCCATTTTAGTGACAGCTTTCTGAAAAGTTATCAGAGAGAATGTTTTTCCTTGGTTAAATGACTGTTAGTTTACTGACGTATAACCTTCCAATTAAGAATTGTATGGTAAAATGTGTACATATTAAAATTATAGCTTTTGAAGTGCAGTATACATTATGACTTACATTCGGAACTGCCTAGGCTATTATCTATAATAACCTCGGAAACAATACGGATTGAAAGTAGTTCTACCACGTGGTTTCATATGTAAACAGAAACAGAGATAATGTATAACGAATGTATATATTTGACATCTAATGTCTGTTCCGGTACTCTTATGCTTGAAAATATGTCTGACAACAATTTTTAATTTAAATATGCCCACTGATGTTCAATTTTAAACAAATCCAACTAATTGTCAACAGGTTGGGTTTTTGTACTTTCGGTTTCTACAGCCATAATTATAAATATATAAATAGTGTATTGTTTTCTTTTGTACCTATAAATTCACTTATTTTATGTGGACTTTTACTACATATACTGGAAATAA